GCCGCAGGAACATCATTACATTCATCACTGATGCTGAAAAGGATCCTCTTGTTATGGGTTTTTCACTGGTGGATGAACAGCCTGAGAATTTTCCGGTTGAACCAGAGTTGGAACAAGATGTTGCAATTGCGGATGATGCAGAAGTTGCCATTGAAGGCAGAGACATACCAGAAGGTCAGATCGTTGTGAGACCTATCCCTGAGGATGAGGTAAATGTGAATGGAGTGCTGCTCAGGGAATCCAGTACGCTAGCTACGCTACGTGCAGGATGCTCTTTCTACGGAGTTTCAACCTCAGGTTCAAAGCAGAAATGTTTCAAGCGTTTGATTGAACATTCGAAGAAACTGGAACTTGAAGCAGTGATGGCAGCTGCAAAAGAAGCTCAGAGCCAGCAAGAGAGACACCCACTTGCACCGGTCTCAGCTGAGATTCCATCTGAGTACGAGCAATCGCAACACAGATTGACTCATGTCCCTTACAGGGCTTGGTGTCCATCATGTATTGCACACCGCGCTAGAGCGGATAGGCACGAACGCACTGGAGAAGCGCATGCAGGAGAGGTTCCAACAGTCAGTTTTGACTATTTCTTTACAAAGTCTGATGGTCTTGGTGGTGAACATGATGAAGCAGAAAAGATTACATCACTGGTGGTAGTGGACAGCCAGACGGGCTTTGTTTCATGCATACCACTGGAAGGAAAGTCACAGCTAGACCATGCAAATAGAGAGATTGTCAAGTTCATTCAGATGTTGGGTCATTCAGAGGTGATCCTGCATTGCGACAATGAGCCATCGATCCTTCAGTTGAAAAGGTTGGTTTTGAAGACGCGTCAAAGCATGGGCCTTAAGACACGTGAGACTTCAGCAGTTGCATACGACAAAGGAAACAGTCTGGCAGAGAATGCAATTGGAAGAATCAGAAGCCTAGCATGCACGTTGATGCATCAGTTACACGGGCGCATCGGGATCCAACTTGAGACATCAAATGCAATTTGGAGTTGGGCCCTACGACACTCAGCTTGGCTGATCTCAAGGTTCTCTGTGATCAGGGGCGCTACGCCCTATGAACTGGCTTTTGGAAGGGCTTATTCTGGAGAGTTGTGCGAGTTTGGTGAACCAATTTTTGGGTTCGTGATTCCAGCTACAAAAACAACAGCGAAATGGAAAAGGATGCTGTTTTTGGGGAAGGCCGACATTCAAAATAGCTATGTGGCATTTGATGGTCAATCAATCCTCTTGACACGAAGTGCACGAAGGATCAACACAAGCTGGAGGAGCCACATGGCATACTACTTACATTGTCGATGTTTTTCCTGGCAGTACAAGGCTGGTTTTGGATCCAGAATTTTGCCAACAATGAAGAAGCCGGTGCCAAAGTCAGTGGCCTTTGATATGCCTCTTGGTCCAGTGGAGGACAGCCATTTGCACGACAAAGATGCTGAGGCAGTGATCCAGTATGCAGAGCAGGAGAAGAAAGCAGAGGAAGAACAGGCTGGAATGGCAGCCAATGATCCCTTGAGCCTTGCGTTGCGTGAAAAGCTTGGTGAAGGTGTTGCAGGTGAGTTGGAAGGAGCTCAGATCATGGATGAAGAACCAGACCATCCAGTATCAGCTGCGCCTTTACACATTGCAGCTGACAATGCAGTGCCTATGGAAGATCCTGGATTAGCAGTTCCAGTGACACCGCCTCGAGACTACATTGAGATTGACAGCCCACGAGAAGCTGCTCCATCGCGTCCAAGCGATCATCCAAGTGAAGAATTGCTGAAGAAACAAAGGACAGAAGAGGCAAAGCGCCAGCGCATCAACAGACTGAAACTGGAATATGAAGAGAGGTTGAGCGCAGTGAAGATTGCCTACAAAGAATACTTTACTATGGATGATTACACAACTGACTTGGACACAGACAATCAGGTGGAAGACAGCGATGACTGGATTGGAGAAGATACAGTGATTTTGTCAGGCATCCCTGAGTCACTTTGGTCTGACGCTCCAATTGACCAACGTGCGCCTGACCCGCCTGAAAAATGGATTGATGACCTTGCAGATCGAGTTGAAATCCAAAGGCTTTGCAGCATGCAGGTTTTAGTGCCACAAGATGCTTTTCAGGGAGAAATCACTGGTAGCTTGACAACAAAAATGGTGCGAGACTGGAGACTCAAAGTTTTTGGAGAAGGAGACCAACAACGCAAGCGCTGGATGCGCAGATCTAGGCTGGTGGCAAGGGAATTTGCAACGACAAAACGGCTGGATACGTTTTCCCCCGCTACGGGGGCACACACGTCAAACCTCCTACAACTCAAATACCTTGGAATGAAAGGTATGGCTGCTGAGTCAAAGACAAAGGAGGAGTACGACGTCATCATGGGCAGTCTTGACGTGCGTGATGCTTTCTTACAAGTTGAGCAGGATGATCCAGTCCTAGTTTACCTTCAAGGTGAGCCCTTTGTCATCAAAAGAAATTTGCCTGGACAGCGTTTGGGAGCAAAGCAGTGGTTTTTATGTTTGAAAACCTTCCTCATGGAGGAGTTGGGATTCACTTTCTGCGCAGAGCAACCATGTTTGGCTCGAACACCCGAGGCAACCATCATGATCCACGTGGATGACATTTTGTTTGTGGGATTGAGATCGTTTTGGAATGACAAGTTTTTGAAGAAGATGAAAGAACGATTTACTGTCAGTCATGACGAGCTGAAGGGTGTTGGAAGTCACATCACTTTCTTGCGCAGGAAAATCATGGAAGTTGAAAATGGTTTGATCCTAGCTCCAGGGACAACAGTTGAAAAGGTTGCTGATGCGTTTGAGTCTGCGTTTGGCAGTGCCAGGTGTCAGAAACTTCCCAATGATCCAAGTTTGCAAATGCCTGATAGCTCTCAGAAACTTTCAGCTTCAGATGCGAGTGCATATAGGTCAATTGTTGGATTGTGTTTGTACATTGCCAGGGAACGCCCGGACCTTATGTACACGATCAAAGAACTGTCAGCATGCATGAGTGCACCAACACTTGCAGCACTTGCACATTTGCGAAAAATGATTGGTTACATGAAGGCAGTTGGAGATGTGGGAGTTCTTTTAGAGTACCCGCAGCCTGGTCAGGGAAGATTGGACGCAGGAGGAGTTTCAGAATGGATTCTTGAAAGTTTTTCAGATGCTGACTGGAGCTCTAATCGAGCAACAAGGAGATCAACATCATGTGGGGTTCATTACATCAACGGTTGCTTTATGTTTGCAAGCAGCAGGAGTCAGAAGGTAGTGTCGTTGAGCTCTTGTGAGAGCGAATTGCACAGCTTGATCAGTTGCGCATGTGACAGCCTTTTCATAAAAGCCTGTGCAACGTTTGTGCTTGGAGAACCACCACAACATGTCATCTACACCGACTCAAGCTCAGCACGACAATTAGCATGTCGGCAGGGTGCAGGAAAAGTGAGGCACTTGTCAGGGAAGCTGCTTTGGATTCAGGAGAAGACGGCAGATGGAAGCTTTCAACTACGTCAGGTGCCCACTGCAAGCAATGTTGCCGATATTGGCACGAAAACACTGAGCAGGCAGAGGCTGTTTTACCTTTTGCATGAGTGCGGATTGGTTTATATCACAGACTTCACAAGGGTTGGTGCAGATGAGTTTGCAGTGCAGAGTGAAAAGATGGTACACTCCAAACAACTGAAACAAATCACAAAGGCGATTCTCAGAATGAGCATAGCCATGGGTATAGCTGGGGGTCTTGAGCCTACTAGAGTGGGTGCGGCAGCTCAACAATGCGAGCTTTCACAACAGGACTCCAAACATAATGCCTGGTTGATGTTTTCACTGGTCGTTTTTGGAATTTGCGTGGTTACAGTGGTTTTCAAACTTACGCTGAGAACATGGAGGTGCTTGGAACAGCGTTTAGGCTTTTTGGAAACTGCAGTACGTGGAATCACGACTGATGTGGAACAGATTCAAATCCAACTTGCAGACCACTATGACTATGCGGCTGAACTGAATGCTCATATCGATGAGTGTAGCAGCATGACACATGCCTTGAGCGACAATCACTTGGCTCTGTTGGCAAGACAACAAAGTTTGGAACAGGAGATGTTGGAAGGATTCCGAAGTGGAGAAGAGGCAACAAACTGTGTCCGCTACGGACTCATGGAATTTGGCGGCTTCACAAGGTTTGCTTCTCTCACTGGTGAACAGATCAGACATATGATGACTCAGGAGCGGGGCAATTTCGTGCTCTGGAATATGAAAAACCGTACAGAAAACACAGATCCAATTGAAGAGGTTTCCGAACATCGTGAGCAAGCAGAAGAAGAATCACCGACGTCAGATCCAGAAACTGACGGAAATGATGGAGGAAATGCACCATCCAGGTTGGAGAGGCTTCTGCACAACATGCGGTCAGATCAGAATGCTGCATTAGCCAGAGAGATGTGGCACGATGCAAGCGAGATCCAGCATGCAATAGTGGCCGCATTGGAAGCTTCATCGACTTCAGCTGGATTGAATACAGAGACAATGAACAGAATCAGAAATGTGTTCCAACGGTTATACCGTTACCACAGGAACAGAGGCAGTGATGAAAGACGTGACCGTTATAGACTGTATGTCGAAGACATGGACAGCATGATGGTATGAATTCAATTTTGGAATACAAGCAATGCAGAAACAGAGAAAAGTTCTGATTATGCGTTGGAGAAGGCAGCAATATGTTGCCAAAAGAGCTTAGCGCTCAAGTGGCAAAGGAGGAGTGCGAAGTACTGTGCAGCCTACTCACATGACCCATGCACAAGGATGACACGCACAAATCATGACGAGAGATGCAGTTGTCCATTCCATTTCATCACTCATGAAATCATGAGTGCATGTTATATCCGAGACCCCTTTGGCACAAAAGAATGCGCGCCGCTGTTGGCCGTTTGTTCGCAAATAGAAAACGTATGCTGTCTCCAATGCAGACTGTCCCTTTGAAATTCACTCTTGCTACAGTTGCACAGCCGTGACCGCACCAGATGTGTTGAGGTGAAGTGGGAATTCGGTGAGGTAAAACGGACGGACAACAAGGACCACAGCTACTTAGTCGGAGATCCCAGCTGGGACTTGTAGAGAAACCAGCTTGAGTGCTTGGGTAGGAATTTTGAGACTGCCCCAAACCTCAAAGGATTGTCAGCATGTTTCCCATTAGTTTAGTAATTTGATCATTTTTCGATATTTTTCGTAATTTGATGTAGGCCCCAGTTTCTTGTCAAGCCCAAGTATCCCTGCAACAGTTGAGAGTGCTGCGCTTCAAATGGATAGAGAGAGAGAGACGGTTTCTTTTTCCAGCTCAAAATGTTTGTACTGCGGGACTTCTGGGCAATATCAACAAAACTGCTTCATGCACTCGCGCTGTTGTGCAGGTTCGCGGAGATTCAGAAAACCATGACAATCCGCCAAAGCAATCATGATTTCAAAAGAGAATGAAACCATGATATATGAAAACTATCGAAACTCAAAATAATATGAACTACTTGACAATGCTTATCAATGCTCCATGTCAGTGGGCCGTTGGCTAATGCCATGTCATCCGATGTCATCCGATGTCATCCGATGTGGCCATGTCTGAGGACGGAGCGTTGGTGACGTTTGCAGGTCGAAGTCTGCAGGAGGCCGCCCTGCAATGTGGAATGCAGGTATGGATGGTGTGGATTGTGCGGGTCAAGTCATTGGGTACCCATGGGTATCCCACAGAAATTTATAAAATGTAGGTGGCAATAGCAATGGACAACACTGATAACATGGATCACATTAAATTGTGATAGTCGTTGTTGGAAAGCAGATATTGGATCATTTGTGTGGCCAATAAGTTCACCAAAGCTAAAATACCAGAAAAAAACGACCAAACCTGAGGTCCCCTGAGCTTAACATTTTGACCTATACTGTTCTATACCCGCCTGACACTGCCCTGTTTTACCAGTGTAGAATCACATGAAATTTGCATAATTAACACGTACACGCAGATGTGTCTGCAGCATTTCAAATGCCAACTGTTTGATCATGTTTGGTCGCTTTCATGCAAAAGTTTGTCTCGTTGAACGCCTGACACAACAGATCGTGGATTATCGGGGCCCCCACGGCGTCGTGATCACAGTGAACACAGGATGCTTGTGAAGTGCTGGATGTTGGCTTGCTTGATCTTTTGAACCTCAAGTGGAATTTTTATCATCCAAATGCAAAGTGGCGGTTTGTAAATCAGTTTAAGCCAAGCAGAATGGGAGTAACTCTACCAGATGTAGATAAGGAGGTACGTAGCAATCCTCTAAGGTTCGGATTGTCCACAACGGCGTGGTTGACTACAACGGCATGTGGATTGGACCTGTCACTGCCTCAGAACCTAGATTTGTGTAAGTTCTATGCGATTTTAGAAATTAATTCACAAAGTTGTTTTGGCATGTTCATCACAGTTGAAATCACATTGGACCACTGTGGCATGTGTTTTCCTTGCTTAATTTTTCAGGAAGTGCTGAAATCATTTGTTGAGGTGGGCTCAAGTGATGCAGCTGATGGAGCCATCAAATATGGAGGCGTTCGGGCGTAGACCGCAGGTCCAAGTGTGCAACCCGGCCTTGTTTTCGATCACGGGATGATCCCCAGTTGATTGCTTCTGAATTGCATGGAATATATGGAATACAACTGAAATATAATGAAACCACAAACCTGTCTTTCTTTGTTTCGCTTCTTGATTTGTCCAGCTTTTGAAGTTCAAAAACTTTTTGCGCCGCCAGTTGTATGGAAGGTTTGCTCTTGGACGAGTTGCCCCGCACAGGGAAGTGTCTCTTTGAGGCGTTGGGAGCGTGAAATGCTGGCCATCCGTTTTTTTGGTATACAATGGTATACACTTTGATCGAGCCCGCAAGGAAGGAAACTCGCATACATTGTGTTACATAGCTTATAGGAGCCGAGAAAGACATTTGCGTTGCCGTGCCGCAAGGTTCATTTGGATCGCCTCCCACCAGCCACCACAGCAACTTGGCTAAGATTCCGGTGAAACATGGTGACACAAGGCCAGAGCCTGTTTGGACCCTTGAAGCCTGTGACCTGTGAAGCTTCACATTTCATTCTGCTTTGTTCACCGTTTTTGGGAACGTCCCAAGGATGTGTATGTCATCGTCTCTTCACCGTCTGGGAGGGAATTGAGCAAGTGCCATTGCAACATTTGATCGATGTTCGGCAGGATCTGATTCGATGATGTTCCAGAAAACGTTGGAGCAACCGTTCCATTTGAATATTGAACATATCTCTATGTTTTACTATTGTTTAGCGAAGGTACAGCAACATCGTGGTGGCGATCGTGGACGCTTGGAAGAGTCACAAGGTGCTGGAGAAGAGATTGAAGTGAAAGCGTGCACACAGTGAGCGCAGCAGTTGCAGTGCAGCGATGCGCCAGGTGTCCACTTGCCTTTTGAAATCGAAGCCAGCGTGCGGCACCTACAGACATGAGATCGAGGAGGACCACTGCGTATCCCTTTTGCAGAGCTCATTGAGAAAGGCATACTGCAGACCGGGCACGTAAAGGCTTGCGGCATCAAAAAACTTTCTACGGGGAAAGCATGGCAAAGCTCTCGCTTGAATCGGAGGTCTCAGGGGGTGATCTTCTGTCGACTCTCCAAAAGCAGTGCAAATCTTAGTGGCCGATCTTAGTGTTGTTGCCTTATGGCCAATATTCACTGCAAGTTTTGGCAACACTCAGAGAAATTCCATTCTTCACAAGGTCATGGATGGAAGATGGGTGCTTTCAGGAGGGCATTTGGCGTCTACACCTGCTTGTTCTTTGGTCGTTACAATCATTGATCCATTAGGGACCATTCAGGAATATTAGGGACCTATACTTCAACAATTTCAATATGGCTACCCGGCTACCCATAAATCATTTCTGGCTTCCAAATCCTCTACATGTTCTCTCTACATGTTCTCTAGAATTATCTATATATTTCAATTATATTTCCATATGTTCTATCTTTAATCCTTTTACTATCTATCTTCTATCTGTCTAACTATATAGTCCAAGCCAACCCAATCAAATCTAATCTAACCTAATCGATCTCATCGATCTCATCGATCTCATCGATCTGATCGATCTAATCGATCCAATCGATCCAATCGATCCAATCGATCCAATCGATCCAACCCTATCTATCCCATCCATCCCATCTATCCTATCTATCTTTGTTTTTCTATCTATCTAACCCTTCCTATCTATCTAAATCTTTCTATCTTTCCTATCTATCTAATGTATCCTATCAATCTAATCTATCCTATCTATATATCTAATCTTTCCTATCTATCTTATCTATCCATTCCTATCCATCTATCCTATCTATCTTTCCTTTCCTATCTATCCATTCCTATCTATCTACTCCTATCTATTACTATCTACTTATCTATCCTTACTATCTACTTATCTATCCTTACTATCTACTTATCTATCCTTACTATCTACTTATATCCTTACTATCCTTACTATCTACTTATTATCTATCCTTACTATCTACTTATCTATCCTTACTTACTTATCTATCCTTCTCTACTATCATCTACTTATCTATCCTTACTGTCTACTTGTCTATCCTTACTATCTATCTACCCTTACTATCTACTTATCTATCCTTTCTATCTACTTATCTATCCTTACTATCTACTTATCTATCCTTACTATCTACTTATTTATCCTTACTATTTACTTATCTATCCTTACTATCTACTTATCTATCTAATCTATCCTATCTATCCTTACTATCTACTTATCTATCCTTACTATCTACTTGTCTATCCTTACTATCTACTTTTCTATCCTTACTATCTACTTATCTATCCTTACTTTCTACTTATCTATCCTTACTATTAACCTATCTATCCTTACTATCTACTTATCTATCTAATCTATCCTATCTATCTAATCTATCCTATCTATCCTTACTATCTACTTATCTACCCTTACTATCTACTTATCTATCTAATCTATCCTATCTATCTAATCTATCCTATCTATCCTTACTATCTACTTATCTATCCTTACTATCTACTTATCTATCTAATCTATCCTATCTATCTAATCTTTTTTATCTATCCTTACTATCTACTTATCTATCCTTACTATCTACTTATCTGTCCCTACTATCTACTTATCTATCCTTACTATCTACTTATCTATCCTTACTATCTACTTATCTATCCTTACTATCTACTTATCTATCTAATCTATTCTTACTATCTAATCTATCCTATCTATCCTTACTATCTACTTATCTATCCTTACTATCTACTTGCCTATCCTTACTATCTACTTATCTATCCTTACTATCTACTTATCTATCCTTAATATCTACTTATCTTTCCTTACTATCTACTTATCTATCTAATCTATCCTATCTATCCTTACTATCTACTTATCTATCCTTACTATCTACTTATCTATCTAATCTATCCTATCTATCTAATCTATCCTATCTATCCTTACTATCTACTTATCTTTCCTTACTATCTACTTATCTATCTAATCTATCCTTTTTATCCTTACTATCTACTTATCTATCCTTACTATCTACTTGTCTATCCTTACTATCTACTTATCTACCCTTACTATCTACTTATCAATCCTTACTATCTACTTATCTATCCTTACTATCTACTTATCTATCCTTACTATCTACTTATTTATCCTTACTATTTACTTATCTATCCTTACTATCTACTTATCTATCTAATCTATCCTATCTATCCTTACTATCTACTTATCTTTCCTTACTATCTACTTATCTTTCCTTACTATCTACTTATCTATCTAATCTATCCTATCTATCTAATCTATCCTATCTATCCTTACTATCTACTCACATATCCTTACTATCTACTTATCTATCTAATCTACCCTATCTATCTAATCTATCCTATCTATCCTTACTATCTACTTATCTATCCTTACTATCTACTTAACTATCTAATCTATCCTATCTATCCTTGCTATCTACTTATCTTTCCTTACTATCTACTTATCTATCTAATCTATCCTATCTATCTAATCTATCCTATCTATCCTTACTATCTACTTATCTATCCTTACTATCTACTTATCTATCCTTACTATCTACTTATCTATCCTTACTATCTACTTATCTATCCTTACCATCTACTTATCTATCCTTACCATCTACTTATCTATCCTTACTATCTACTTATCTATCCTTACCATCTACTTATCTATCCTTACTATCTACTTATCTATCCTTACTATCTAGTTATCCATCCTTACTATCTACTTATCTATCCTTACTATCTACTTATCTATCCTTACTATCTACTTATCTATCCTTACTATCTACTTATCTATCCTTACTATCTACTTATCTATCCTTACTATCTACTTGTCTATCCTTACTATCTACTTATCTATCCTTACTATCTACTTACCTATCCTTACTATCTACTCATCTATCCTTACTATCTACTTATCTATCCTTACTATCTACTTATCTATCCTTACTATCTACTTATCTATCCTTACTATCTACTTATCTATCCTTACTATCTACTTATCTATCCTTACTATCTACTTATCTATCCTTACTATCTACTTATCTATCCTTACTATCTACTTATCTATCTAATCTATCCTATCTATCCTTTAGTTTATCTATCGAATCTTCTTCGGATGCACGTGACGTGATGCAGATTCCAGGAGCCCAACCTCCGGCGGATGCCATAACTTTCATCCCATCATCGAGAGCGTGGAGCTTAGGAAACAACTTTAAGAACAACTTGCTGAAACAACATAGCAAGAACAAGTTAACATGGTAACAGCATGGTAACAAACCATCAACAAACCATCAACAAGCCATCAAAAAGACAACCATCAGACACCTATTCTAAACATTCCGGCTCAAAAGATCATGATGAACATTTAGTCCAATTCGTTATTCCTAATGTGAAAACATGACCACCCGCGGCTGCTGTGCTAAGTCGTCTACGAGCAAAAATCATTAAACATCATGAATATATATATATGAGATAAGATGACACACCTGTGATACAGATCAGTGATATTTTGTGGTTTCGGCATTGTGTCGGTGCTGTTGTTTTGCCTTTCCAGGCTTGCGCGACGTGCAGGCACAGGCCTACCCGGAGGAGTTCGAGGCTGCGCAACGTTTGCCATGTTGTGCGCAGACTGTTTCACCGAAATGCAATGCAGATGATGCAGTGAAAATATGTGAAGATCAGTTGCAGATAATAGATCTACGTGAATGATAATGATAAGAATGTAAAAACATGCAGATCATTGTACATTGTAAATGAATAAATGTGAACAATATTATGTAGTCATTCAACATGAATAATCGACAATCACATACAATCACAATATTGAATTATGTCGGCATATTCCCAGTATTTTACCAGCGAATTAAACATGCACTGTGCAGATCAGCCTGGGCGGAACTTTGCTACGATCAGAGAGGAGGCCAATATTTCGAGTATTTCGATCAGAGGAGATATCAGAAGCTACGACTCAACGACGGCTACGATGCGTCGGATCTATTGATGTTCAAGTTCAAATCTGTTCGAATGTTCAAGGCCTGTTTCTTCTGTCGGATAAATGCATAAAACACTGCTGTATACTCGAAAGTGGCAATCTTATTTTCGATGATGATGACAAAGCACATAAGTTTAGGGATGACCCAGGTTGAGACAAATCATATCCATGAAACCGTGAGCCAAATCAAACCCATCAAACCGAACTGCTTTTTCAGTTTTTTGGGCGTTTGGGTTTGCTTGAAGTGCCAGCAGCTGGGTGGCAGGTTGCTTCCACTGCAACAACTCCGAGCCAAGCAAAGCTGCTCCTGTTTGACAACCAGTGTACTTGAAAGGAGAATCTGAAAACAACAAAACACAGAACTGCAGGTTGTGCACGCAGAACAAGATAACTGCATCACATAGCCATATCTCAAACTTCATTGTGCAAGATTATGCAGTTCAATCTCATCAGCCAGGGGTGACCAACTCCAACGCCAATTGTCAACCGGTTCCATCACCAGTGGCCAGCTCAGGATGTGTCGGTGTGATGTCAAGCATTTGCCAAATTCGTGCGAGTTTGTAGGGTAGCAATGCACAGCACTACATGATGTTCACAGATGTCCACAGGCTGCATCTAAGTCTCTGAGTCTTGCTCCAGGTTTGTTGACTTGGTCGCCAGCGCGAAACCCCAACTCCAGGAGGCAGGACTCGGCAGGACTTGGGGTTTTGATGGGTTTTGTGTTTGCTTGGCATCAAAACGCATCAAGGTAATGATTTGATCAGTTTGATCCCAGGGCAATTTGCCATCTGATTGGATGGCTTTTCAAACCCATTGAGGTTTGGACCTTCAGAATTGGATTGATGCCTTCCTCAGCGCCAGTGTGGACGAAACTGCGGAAAAATCACACCTCCAGCGTGATTTGTGCACAATGCTAGGAACTGACAGAACGGGGGAGTGGTTCATCTCAATTCGCAAGCCTTCTGACTTCATTCCTCATTCAAGGTAAAAAAGTGGGAGCCGTGAAATGTCTCGGCAGAGCATGTTTGGCACATTCTTGTCTTGAGCCACCTGCGATTACACACGGTTTCAACATTTGCACAGCTGTACCATTACACGCAAGGGGCATTGGGTGTGCCCGGTTTATTTGACAGCTGCCTTTAATTAAGATCTTGGCGAGATCTTTCAGGTAGGCGGCAGCCATGTGGTTGCAACTGCTGTCACTGCAGCTGCCCTTTAGCTGTTGCGCTGCAGCCATGTGCCTGGATGATGCTGTCCCACCTTCAAAGCGGGCTAGTCATGAAGAATTGTTGAGGGCGTATGACGCACTCAGGGCAGAGCAGGAATTGCGGTTTGGTGTAATTCCCCGAAGGGCCCCCTAGGTCATTACACAGGAGTTTGTATCGATGACAAGCTACATTGTTGTTTGGAACAGCAACAGCAACAACAACAACAACAGCAACAGCAACAGCAACAACAGCAACAACAACAACAATAGCAACAGCAACAGCAACAGCAACAACAACAGCAAAAGCAACAACAACAGCAACAACAACAGCAACAGCAACAACAACAGCAACAACAACAGCAACAGCAACAGCAACAACAACAACAGCAACATCAACAGCAACAGCAACAGCAACAACAACAGCAACAGCAACAACAACAGCAACAACAACAGCAACAACAACAGCAACAGCAACAACAACAGCAGCAACAACAACAGCAACAGCAACAACAGCAACAGCAACAACAACAGCAACAGCAACAGCAACAACAACAGCAACAGCAACAGCAACAACAACAGCAACAGCAACAACAACAGCAACAGCAACAGCAACAAAAACAGCAACAGCAACAACAACAGCAACAGCAACAACAACAGCAACAGCAACAGCAACAGCAACAACAACAGCAACAGCAACAGCAACAACAACAGCAACAGCAACAGCAACAACAACAGCAGCAACAACAGCAGCAACAACAACAGCAACGGCAACAGCAACAACAACAGCAACAGCAACAGCAACAACAACAGCAACAACAACAGCACCAGCAACAGCAACAGCAACAACAACAGCAACAACAACAACAGCAACAGCAACAGCAACAACAACAGCAACAACAACAGCAACAGCAACAACAACAGCAACAACAACAGCAACAGCAACAGCAACAGCAACATCAACAGCAACAGCAACAGAAACAACGACAGCAACAGCAACAGCAACAACAACAGCTACACCAACAGCAACAACAACAGCAACAGCAACAACAACAGCAGCAACAGCAACAGCAACAGCAACAACAGCAACAGCAACAACAACAGCAACAGCAACAGCAACATCAACAGCAACAGCAACAGCAACAACAACAGCAACAGCAACAGCAACAAAAACAGCAACAGCAACAACAACAGCAACAGCAACAGCAACAACAACAGCAACAGCAACAACAACAACAACAGCAACAGCAACAGCAACAACAACAGCAACAGCAGCAACAACAACAGCACCAGCACCAGCAACAGCAACAGCAACAACCTCAGCAACAGCAACAACAGCAACAGCAACAACAACAGCAACAACAACAGCAA